TGCTTCCTTATGGGATTAGAACAATGCCTCCTTATCCCCAGTCCAGCCAATAATATGATTCACATTCGTATATACGCAGCTGATCAACATCGTTGACAGGCTATGAAAACCCTCCTTGCTTGGAGCTTCCTTGTCTTGATGTCAGTGGCTTCTATCTCCTCTTTTGGCCATCTTATTAGTTTGGTAGCTCAGTCCCCTCAGTTCTGACCACCTTCATCTCTAGCCCGAATGACATTCCGATGCCATTGCTGCTGGTGTGGATCAGTGAATCGATGTCCCGTTCTGGGCATACAGCTTGATGAAATCCACAGGAGGATAGCTGACAACTCAATTCCGTATCCATAGCGGGTTCAGACATATGCAGAACAGCAGTGGTCCTCCTCATGTATTGATCCATCTTAGCACACAGTCAGGTCAAGCTTCACCATGATCCTATCTTTCAGGACTCTCGCACTCAAGGAGACGGATACCTGCTTGGGTGGGGGGGTCATGATATCTACCCCCTGACCTGTCGTCCTGGCTCCCTGTTGCCGTAACATGTGTGTTGTACCTCGTCAGTCTCTAGCTTTGAGAACAGTCCTTTCTTCTAAATGTTGGAACACTGAGCTACTAGTTGTTTCACTGTCAATGTGGATGTTGGGTATCGGCATGACTTCATATAGCATGGAGGGTCAAGCCTAAGACCCTTACTGGATACAGACGCCCCAGGTGGGAATCAAACTTGCGACTCACGCTCTAGAGGCGTGTAGCTGCTATACAGGCATGATTTTTTTTTCTTGTAAAGCCAAAGTGTGACTGACCGAGTACTGATCAAGCACTAATTGCTTTGGCAGAGAACTTTTGAACTAGTGACGGACATTTACAGATCACCCAGCCCAAATCAAAGAAAACACATATAAGACCGATCAAACAAATGAACTGCCTTGCTACCAAATTATTAAACATAAAGAAAAGTAGTGCTCTCAACAAGGTGCACTATGCTTGGAACTCCTGAATACGCAGGAATTCATTAGATCAGACACATGATCACTGTGCCTAATGTAGCTTAATAATTCATCTGAATTGATTAATTGCAGGATAAGAGAACATATTCCCTGCAGAGATTGTAATGATTTGATTTCAGATGAGCACTGTCATAATGTGCAGCTTTTCATAAACCAGTATCACATCCACATCAGACCCTTTCGTGAGTCCCAAAGATCTCTATCTTCATCTTTCCTCTGTTTTCACTTTTTAGATCTGTCCACACTTTCCCAGCTGTAATTAAGTCTCAGACACTAGTTTCATTCTTTATTTTTTTAAGGACATTGTAACTATTGTCAAAAACATATTGAAAGTAGAGTCTTGTGAATACTACAGATTTTTCAGCTTAATTTGAGGGGAACACAAATATATTGCAATGATAATTTTGGAACCACAGATATTTTTATAGAGGGGCTGCAATATACATATATATATATATATAACAATAAACTGCCAATCCCTATCTCCATCTTTCCCAGTAAGGAGCCCAGTCAGCAGAGGGTGAAGAAGTGGGGCTTCTCTTTGGAGGACGCCTTGAAAGATCCAGCAGGGCAGGAGCTTTTCCTCAAGTTTCTAGAATCAGAGTTTAGCTCAGAGAATCTCAGGTGAGCAAAATATATTTCAGTCATCATTGTTGTATGTTGAAGTGATATTTTCCTGCTCTTTTTAACCATGCTGTACTGAACTCAATTAATGAAGAAGGGCAAGTAGTGCACAAGCACAGATTTTGTGGTGAATTTTTAAAGGCAGCTTATTCTGCATTATAACAAATCCTCTGTGCTTCATAGGATAACATTTAAGACATTCAGTTGGACATTTGTGCAGCTCCCCTTTAACAACGTGAGGAGAGTATAAGAGTCGATCAAAAGCTTTCACTTCCATGAAAATAGGCAGAAATTATTTCTTCTTGGCAACCTCATTGTTCCAACCTACCATTTCAACCCACTTGGAACATGGAAGAGCAATCAAGTGAAGGTTTGCCAGTTTTTAGATACCTAGAACACTTAAAGAGAAGCGCACAAACCACACTAAAATTCTGCTCATCGAAATTTCAGGAAAAGAAAAGAATATTAGAAAGGAGCAATACTGAGCTACAATGTTATGCAGATGTATCTCTTCTAGTATTTTTTTTTTTACTCTGTTGGATAAATCTAAGATAAAAACTGTTTTTGAAAGGTCTTATCACCATAAACAACAATGTTGTATCGAAGAGAAGAAAAAGATGCAGCCTTACAACTGTGATAAAAATAACAAGACTGAGCTAATGAGGTACACATCAATTTTCTTAACTGCTCATTCAATTAAAAGTCATAGCAGCAGCAGTAGAGCCTGTCCCAGCTGGCTCTGCTGGGTGAGGTGCAGAGTACACAATGTGCCCTACCACAGGGCCTCTTTAAACAGACAACCACACTCCTCCTATGCATTTAAGACGTAATTTAAGTTGTCGTGCCTTAAAGGAAAGATTCAAAGGGAAATAAGATTTCACATAACTACTTTACTTCTGTCTACACATCAAAAACAGAGTTGTAGAGCACCGGCAGTAAGCATACTAAGAGAAACCGCTAGCCCGACGATCCATCACACGTCACAAAACATTTCAAAACTCGTGTTTTTAGGCTCGTGGCAACTTTTCCTCAATCTGTCTGTTTAATTTTTAAGTCCATGAATGTTTTTGATTTCTTTGACTTGTTCTTGTGATGGTTTACAGCTCACATTAAATACAAATTTACACACTAGGGACTGTCATATTTAGTCCCTTATGCACCTATGCAGCAATAAGTGGGTGTTTTATAGTGTGTGGGTGGGAGAGAGAGATGAGGCATCTCTGAAATCTAGTGAGAGAGACAGAAATGTGTTAGGAATAAGAGTCTGGAGATGAACTGATAGTATGGAGGTTGTTGATACTTCTGAGCCAGGGGGAGATCCACTACAGAGAAAAAACACACACACATAAGCAGGGTGAGATGCAGAGCGGGAGGGCATACACTCACATCGCTGTTCACCCTTCAGCTACGCCACCAGTCTCCTCACCTCCATCTATTGTTCTCTTCTTCTGGACCCTTAATTGCTTTTGGTTTTATGAGGGAGCTTTTGGAGGAGTGGCACAGAAAGAGAGAGTGTCAGTTATTGAGAAATAGAGAGTGAGTGAGCAAAGCACACCCCAGAGGTGCTTTGCTCTATATTGCTAAACCAGTCCACAGATCAATATAGATAGAAACTAATATTGGAGGCAGTCTGCTTCTCTGCTGCCCCTGGTATTTAACACAGTTTAAGTTTTTTCTCTGTGTCAATATTTAAAAGAAAATTATTCTCGTGTGTCGTCGAGGAAAGGAGGAGAAAGTTTTAAGAGCATTTTAGAAAGAAAGAAATCAAATACATGTAAGTCAATGTTCTGGATACTGACATGTTTCGAGAAAACTATGTTTGCTTTGCAGGAAGGTTTCACTTTTAATTTTCCCGCTCTAATCATACAGAAAGCTTTCACTGTCCTAAACTCGCTAATCTATCTAAAGATAAGTTATCACCAGTTACATGTTTAGCATGCAGATTTAAAGGTCTATGCCACTGATGTGTGTTTCTGTTTGTGTTGTTGCAGGTTCTGGCTGGCTGTGCAGGAATTAAAGAGGATACCTCAGCACGAAGTTGCACAGAGGGCACAGGACATCTGGGCAGAGTTCCTGGCAGAGGGAGCGCCCAGCTCTATTAACCTGGACTCCCACAGTTACGAACGCACCAGCCAAAACCTGAAAGACCCTGGACGATACAGCTACGAAGATGCACAGGTGAGAAGCAGAGGAGCATGTAGTGCATTTGAGCTCAAGTAAAATTATTTGAACTTGAAAATTATGAAACCAGTCGGACTTCACAGGGTTTTAAAGTGGAGCTGATGTAACAATATATTAACCTCTTTAAACCTACATATAGAAATTATATGACTGGGAAAAAAAAGAACCTGCTCTTAAAATCCTGTCCAGATTTATGCAACTTTTTGGCAAATGCCAGCTGAAATTTGTCTGGCTGAACTGAGATTTAGTGGTACTCATAAATAATAAAAGGTGAACTACAATACTAAGTGAATCCTAGAAAAGGAGTCATTTAGCAAATTGCATTTATTTCAGTTAGCCTCATTCTGTTCTCTCACTACTGAGAAAAATGTCCCTACTTTTGATCAGTGATTGGAACACATTTACACTGCAAATACACACCTCATATCCTTTGGAGTGACTTTTGAAAAAGTAAAGCAGACAGGCAAACTTACATAGCAAGGCCCCAGCCAGTCAGCAGATTTGAACCCAGGACCTTTTTGCTGGGAAACAACAATGCTAACTAATGCACCGCCATGCTTCTGAAGTTTAATTCTAAATGACCTAATTGTGTGACTGGTTGTCTGTCTCTGTGTTAGACCTGCAATAGACTGTTGACCTATACTATGACAGCTGGGATAAGCTTCAGTAATTTCCTGTGTATCAGGATTCCCCAGTTATGTGACTGACTCCAAATAGGCCTGCTTGAGGTCAAGAGTATTACCACAAGGCTCTATTCTACATTCCAACTTAAGTTGGTTATATCTCTGTGGGTTTTCTGTGCTTCTTTCAGAAGCTCTGCCCCACACTATTGTCTGCTCCATTTGTCTTTCTTACATGCTTCACCAGTATCAACTAATGGGTCTATATTGTGGAGTGATTTCCAGAGAATACGTCTCATTGGGAGATAGATGGGCGGGGGGGTACTGGGCGCTGCGTAGCATCTATTAAATTCCGTCTCGTGTCACAGGCTTAAATGGGACGAGTTAAACAAAGAAAAGATTTCTCCTGTCAGTTACCTGGCAGTGTGCCTCAATCATCCTCTCCCACTGAGAGGGTCTTGTTCAGTTTACTCTGCTTGAGTTGGCAAGTTTTGTACATCATCGACACGTAGTTATATATAAACATAGCAGAATTGCACCGCCATCCTTCCGACGCAAACTTCTCCTTCTTACTTGCCGTGTATCCCATCTTTCTGACCTCTAAGGACCACATCTACAAGCTGATGAAAAGTGACAGCTATTCACGTTTCCTGCGCTCCAACCTGTACCAGGACCTTCTGATGGCGAGGAAGAAAGTAAGTGACTGTGTCATCTATTTATGAATTACTCTCTGTGGACATACAGAAGCTGTATCATTGAACATTAGCATCAGTGAAGCTGAGACTAAGGCAGGCTCCCCGACTTTACTTGGTAGAGATAAGTGGACCAGTCTTTATGACTTAATGACTGCTCAAAGTGCACACACAGCACTGTAACAGTCACACACCATGAGATACAGTATAATTTGTGAATATGTCAAAGGTTATTTTGACATGTTTGACACTGGATTGATGGACAACCTGCCTCTAGCAGGGCCAGCTATGAGGCATGAGGGGTGCACCGCATTCAGTCAGCTAAATTGCTGAGACGACCGCTAACAGCCCTTTTTAGAAAAGAAAGTGGAATACGGCATAGTATTTTCCAGCAATTACTGTAATATCAGTAATGTTTAAAAATATGCCTGCAATCTTGTGCAATTTTTGCGAACTGACTCTGAAAGTGAAAGATGCAATTTTGGCTTCGAAAGAGTTGAACTCTCACACTCTTTACTTTTTGCTCGACTCTAGCCTGAAACGGAGCAGGGCCGACGCACCTCCCTGGAGAAGTTCACTCGCAGTGTGGTGAGTGTCCCGCTGCGTCTGGTTTGAATTATTACAGCTACTTTATCAAACTTTTTTTTAATTGTACATCTGTGCTAAAGTATTTTTTGTAGTCATTAGATACTTTTGCAGCTACAAAGGACATTTACTTTTTTAAAACAATGGTTTAAAAGAATGGCGTATTGAGTAATAAAGGACTGTCCATTGTACAAATTAGTTTGCCTAACTGCGTGACTGCAAATGAGGGAAGAGGCAGGATGCAGGCAAAACAATTACAATGTAAAATTACAGCTAAGCGGTTTGAGTGATTTCTGTATTCTTCAGTGTTCCCTTTGGGGTGCCATTTGCCATGTGTTGCCATGTTTGTTTTTGCTTTATGAAATGCATTATTTCTTTCAGTTCAATAGATGAAGCCTTTGGTTTGCAAAGACATGGAACTGTGACCAAACTATGCATTTCTCTGCAGACACATTATGAGCTTGATATCAAAGAAGAAGAAAAAAATGTTATTTAAGTCTTATTGGACTTCATATGGCAAGCTTGGAGCTCCCTAAGGCACCTCTCATTGCATTACTCAGACTTTCCCCCGTGTTCATTTTTTTTTCCCAGGGCTAATATAATGTATTCTCACCTTGAGATTTAATATATTTTTGCAGACAAAGCTCTATGTGCATGCAGGTCATCCTTCTTCTTTTTCTCCTTAGCTCCTTAGAAATCTTGAGAATAAAACTTTAAACTATGACTCTTCTTTTCCAGGGCAAGTCATTGACAGGCAAACGACTGACGGGTCTCATGCAGTCGTCCTGACAAGGCCTGGATGAAGAATAGGTGGAACCATACCCAGAAGAGCTGCTTACCTATGGGAAGCAGGTGGAAAAGGACCCTGGGGTGTGCTTGTGTAGCTATGGGAGGTGGATAAGCGCGCCAAACAAGCTTACACCACTGGATTGGACTACTACCACATGTGAAACTCACCTCAGATCAGTTCAAGCGGACCGACAGCATGCAATAAGTCACCAGACCTGACACCAGTGCTGTCACAGTGTAGATGATAAACAATGCTACTCCTCTTAGGAAGTTTCTACAAAAATCACCTGTACTAAGGAAAGCCGGGCTCAGTTGTTTCTCTCTATCTACTCTCATGTTAATATAGTAGCTGAAGAGGCTATTGCTTTTACTTTCAGTGATATAAACACGGAATGCTTGAATGCCTTGACAGATGTCAAACGAGACTTAGATTAAATGCTGTAGCTAGCTGTTTTATCTCATCATTCACTACGATGATATAAGGGAATGAAACACTGGGAGCAGTTTACAGATGCTTGACTGCCAGGTGGTGTAGTACACTGAACTTATGATTGACTAAAGCTTTTAGATCAACTTACTATTGTATGACACAAGATATGCCTCTGTATGTCCAATGCCGATTTACTTGGTTACAGTGTGCGCTCACATTTAAATCAGCACACTTGCTGCTTTTGTCTGTCTCCCTGCACTTATAGCTGTGTAATGTAGTACTGTAGTTGGTACAATAGTATGTGTTAGTATGTGCAACAGTAGCTACTAATACTGAAGTTAGTACAAGCACAAGCTGAAATGTCTGCTTTTAAATTCAAGTAAAGGGCACCAAACACGAAGGCCACACGTATCCTGGAAAGCTAACCAAAATCAGTGTTGACCTGATCATTTGGACATATTCTTAATCTACAAATCAATAATTACTTTGCCCTAAACATATGTTGTGGACACCCAGAGGTGAACATCTTGTCATAAAAAGGTGAGTTGGTAGGTTTACAAACAGTTGTATTGCTTTAAACGGGTGGGTGGATAAAGGTTAGGCTTTACTCTATCTTCTAAACATTCCACTGCAGGCGGCCACAGTAATGTTTATTTGGCTGACTTCTTACCATTCTTCACTTTGTGTAAAGATGACAATAAAAGAGGAATGCACAATAAAGACGGAGTTTTGGACCCTTATGTCAGCATGTCCATTTCTTCTACAGGGAAAATGCATCAGATGACACTTTCAATAAAATCCCAGAATAAATGCATGTAACATGTAACAGGTGCATCTTTGCACTTTGTAGTTACATACTGCCCCCTAGTGTCCGTTGGGTAGTAAGTACTGGTTAAACGTCTCACTTTCTGTCATTTGCTGGCACGTGGAGCAAAACCATTACAGCTGGGCAACAAGTACGCTTTAGAAATGTACTATTAAAACCTAAATGTTAAACAGTGCAGCTTTAAAGTGTTGTCGCTCTTGAATTTGATGCTTGGGAAATAAAGACTGATTATTACATCTAATGCTACAAAGAGCTTTTAGTATCTTGTCATCTTAGTAATAGCTGTGAAGTGCAATAGCGCCATCTGGTGGGCATTTTATTAAGAAACGGTACATTTTTTTCTCTTTTCTATTATTATCTTCCTCCTGTAAGTCAGTCTTATATTAATCTTCATCAAACAAGTATGACTACTGTTTTATTCCGATAGTCTCCATGTTATATTTGAATAAGGCATATCTTTTTTAATTTCCCTCTATACACCACTACAGTGGGTTTCAAATCCAGCAATATGTGATTCAAGTGCAGACTTTCAGCTTTAATTCATGAGGTTCAGCAAAAGTATTAGAAATATTTTGAGAGGCTCAAAAGTATTTTGACAATTGACAAGAAGTTTGAGACTGTTGCCTTGTTATTCCATGACAAACACTCGACCCACCTCTGGTTAATTCCAAATGTTGAACTTCATTTTGGTAACTGAGACTGTCAATATGACACCCAAACAGATGTCAGTGCAGGTAAAGGACTTTGACCTTAAGGTCAAAGTCACTGATATTCATAACTTGTCTGAGATTTTTACTAGATGCACCTGTAGTATTGATTTAGACATCGTACACTGCCTCAATCTCAAGTTATTGTGTTCACAAAGTTAACGGCAATACCCTATCAGCAATTTACAGTCAAGAGGTAAAAATGAGTGACTGGCCAAATTATTATGGATCTAACTGTACACTTCCTGGATAAAACATTTTGTCCCGAGTATCAAATTTTTTATTTTACTTTTATATTTTAGTGATTCGTTAGTGTGTGTTCTACATATAGTTGTAAAGCTTTAAGTGCATACTCAAGTTTTGTGGGAGAGATCAAAACACTTAAATGTTTCTTGTGCATTATTGCTTAAAAACATTGATCAAAAATTCAGACGTTCTAAACCGTTTTTTAGAAAAGAAGGTATACGAAGAACAGACAGGAAAAAAAACAAACAAATCCTGGTGCAACTGTTTCCAAGATAAAAGACAAAACTGAACTTATTCAAAACACCAAAAAATATCCCAAAAAGCAGCACCTGAGTACTGTAAGCACATGTATTGCAATGCAGGACTTTAATACTTTAGATGACAAACTGAAACACAGTGAGACTCACTTCATAGCCATTACAAATTTATTGATCAGAGCTTCACATTGTGCGCAGGTCTGATAATAAACTGACAACTTCTTAGTAGATGTTTAAGGTTATATTTGAAGAACTGGGATGGGTGGAGTGTAAAAGCTAAGCTTTCGATTTACCGTTCGATCCACGTCCCTACCCTCATCCTATGGTCATGAGCTGTGGGTAGCGACCAAAAGAGAGAGAAGAGGCAGAAATGTACTTCCTCCGAAGGGTGGGTGGCCTCTCCCTTATAGATAGGGTGAGAAGTTCAGCCATCCAGCAGGGGCTCAGAATAGAACCGCTGCTCCTCCAAAGGAGGCAGTTGAGGCGATTCGGGCATCTGGCTAGGATGCCTACTGGATGTTTTGGGCATGTCCCACCGGGAGGAGGCACTAGGGCAGACCCAGGACATGCTGGGGAGATTATAACTCTCGGCTGGTCTGGCAACACCTTGGTGTTCCTCTAGACAAGCTGGAGGAGATGGCTAGGGAGAGGGAGGATTCCTTAGGCTGTTGCCCCCACGACTCAGCCCCAGATAAGCGGAAGAAGATGGATAGATTGATGGACGAATTTGGTACTTTAAAAATCACACTGAGCAATAGCATGTTGGTAGCATCAGAAAAATTGTTTGGTTAGACTTGTTGTTGTTTATATTTCAATTTGACTGAAGAAAAACGCTCAGAAAGACATTTTTGATGTTACAATGCAAAAAGTGTAGCTGAGCTAGACACTTATTTTTTAGGTACTTACACCAAGCAAATGAATTGTGAGTAGAATTAATGAATGGCTGTAAAGGTACACTAATTTGGGAATAGAGAAACGTGTCACGAGTTGCAGGACTTAAGAGTAATGACTGCACAGCTAACACACAAATTCACTCTGAGGAAATGGGTCAACACATAAATTGGCATTAGGTCCCTTGGGAAAGCTGAGACCTTATTGAAAAGCAGTAAGGAGAATTAGGCAGCGACAGCGGGACAGGAAAGAGGCTGGACTCCTCTAATCTCCAGAGCCTTGTTGAAGTGCACCTCCATGGTCTTAGAAGACTTGGTGATCTTCAGGTTTCTTATACAACCATGAAAAGAGGTGCTGGTAGAAAGAGCTGCCTGGTGAACTCCAGCTGAGACAGAAACAAAAACACATAATCAAATTTACTCCATAATCCCTGAACAGGCTCTTCTCCTGTAACAAGTATGTTTTCTATACATGCTAACAACAATTCATATGTGTTGGCATGTTTCTTTACATTTGTCCAAGTATCATTTTAGGTAGGTGGCATTCATACCAGGATATCCTCCAACATATATGGGGTCGCTGGTGTCACAGGTGACAGAGTGTGCATACGGACTGGCTGCATCGCTCTGCTTCCCATCAACCACCAGCTCCAGCTTGTTCCGTTTCTTGGTGGCGGTGACGGAGTGCCACTGTCCATCACAGAAGCCTTCTCCCTGAGGAACGTGCACTGCCGTAAAGCGCCCAGCTCCATTGTCAACATGGAAGAGCAGCTAAGAGGGAGGGAAAGGCACATGGAAACAACAAACAAGCTTACTGCGTGTAGTCAAACTAATTTCATAATTCTTCGAAATTCTTTGAAATTAGTTTGTGAAAAGTTTTATAAAGTTTTCACAAAAAATACTAAGTAAAAATTACTTTTTGTGACAAGTTTATGTAAAAAAATAAAATCCTCAATTTGTGGAGATGGACCAAGAACATGTTTGATATTCCCAAACCTCACAACGGAAAAAGCTTTCTCTCTGGAGGTTTTTTCCCTTTATGTTATTTTTGCTGTTTTTTAAGGTTTTTTTAAGATCAAATTTGTATCAATGTCCTTTTCCTCTAAGCAGCATTTATTTTATTTTACAATGGACTAAAATCTTAAAAAAGGACAAGTGTTTAATTCTTCTGTTGCTTCTTATTTCCGGGCCTGCTTCCAGCACAAGGTTTAACATTCCTGTTGATTTTAAAACAGATTTATGTTTTCTTCATTTGAACATACATAGTTTATGTGCTATGGTTATGCTTAGCATTTGAGCACATTCTAATATTATAGTTTAATTTGAAATCTGGTTAGGCAAATCTATTACAAATACAGATATTAGTGTTGATGGGTATTATATGTATATAGGACTGAGTGACCTAAAAAAGTCAGGGGTATTATAATATTTGGCAAAAACTCTGAATCAGTGAGTTTTTGATCATTTCAGTTTTTGGTACTTGATCCTTTGAATCCCTCCAGATTACACTTGGCTACTCCAGAACATCCTCAGCTGTCAGAAGTGCACTACCCTCTTTAATGAAGCTTTTATTAAAAGGGAATTTTAAGTAAATGGTTCTTATGGAAGACTTGAATTGGAATAATTTAAGTTTGCTGTGACTCTCTAAATCAATTTCAGATTACTGACAACTAATTCAAGATATCCAGGAAATTTTTAATGCTAGAACCGCCAAAGAGGTCACTTAGCGTTAACTTATTTATTTATCGCAATCGTTCCACATTAATCTGCAGCAGCTTCGGATGTTGCTAATGACGACGACTTTCTGTTATGATTTTGTTGCAGAAAGAGCAGAGCCATGGATAATTTTCAAACAAGATATAAAACATGTTTGCTGAACAAAATATATATATTAAAAGTCGAGATACTCACTTACATTACAACGTTTACATATGCTGGATTCTTTCTATAACTGAGCACTGAGATTTATTACAAACCTTAAAGCGTTTACCTGCCACTGTACATTGTGTGCTTGTGCTGGGAGGTCTGTTTGTCATTTCATAGCCTCAGCCACTGGTACATTCTTATTTTTAAGGTCTTATTTATATGGTCTGCGCCTGTCTTACTGACTTCCATTAATCAAAAAATTGTGGGAATTACTTTTATTGATTTTTCAGGGTTTATTGGTGATGACATTTATACATTTTGGTTGCTTTTGTATTTTATTTTTATTGTTTTTATTTTAGAGTACTTAACTTGTGTATTTTTTTTTGTG